CCTTTATCCTCACATCTAACTGGACAAATCCTAGATAATACTACTAATATCTCGGTGTTCCAAGTAAAAAGATTTGCTTCTCCAATTCACTACCGATCAAGTCATTCCTTGCAGTAGTACTAAGGAGATGAAGAGAGCCAATGATATATTTCTTAATGAAGACAGTCATTCCAAGTAAACTTTGTAATCAAGGTTTGTCAAGTTCTTAATCTTATTTTTGCAACTCCTAGATATATCTTCGTGACATGGGGAAAAAATGCAAGAACATAGATTCAACAAACATTAATTCAGCACATCTTCATTGCACAAAGTAAACAATCAAATATGTTTTTTAAATCTAAAGGATAAATCACAGCAATGGTAAAGAGTAACTGCAGGTCCATGATAAGGAGTTGTTACAGAAGATGCATAGAAAGAAAGTTTGAATCTGTGGTACCAACCGTTGTCCTAAATTTGTAAATGGGAGAAGCAATAGTAGCTGAAGTTGCTCCTGTTTCCTCTCCTGATAACAGCATCAAAAGATCCTTTGCAAGTAAATCCAAATTCACAGAGGAAGAAAGCCCACAAAGAACCTGCAAGGAAGCATTTTTTAAAACCAATCTGACAAACAACCAACTTCCTGTTTACAAATACATAAGAGCAATAGACAACTGCAGAAAACACCAAATTAGTTGGTTCAATTAGAGGATACATGCATATAAAACTAACAGTGGACACCCTAAATACCAAGATCCTCTCCTCGACATGTACAATAATACAAATCTAAATAGTTCAGATACATCAGTTTTCAACACTTTTTTGATGCTATGCATTCTTTGTGAATCCTTCTTGTTGTGATTCTTTCTTGACCAAAACGTTAGACCCCACTGGACCTTTTCTGCTCTAGTTTTGTGAAAGATATCCTCCTCACTCTTGCTGCTTTGGTGAATGGTCAATGGCTCAAAAATAAAGCAATCTTACTTCATGACCATCAGATTGAATTAATTTCTGAGTAGTTTTGCAAGAAGTTATCATATTGCCATTTTCCTATTACTAATTTTAAATATGTCAGCTTTAAAATTTTCTCCTTATTTATAGGATGGAAACTGTTTGTTATAAATTCTCATCAATTAAAAGACTTGGCAGCTATTAAAATGGATCGCAAATGCCTCGTCCTAAATATGACCAGTCCATAAATTGTTTGAAGATGTAAAAGATTTCAATTTGCACCTTCATTGTAAGTCAACTGTTAAGTATGAAACAGGACAGAGCCTTACTTCCTCCAATTGTCAAGAAACTAGTTATACTCCAATATACAAGTTCTTAATCATGTTAATTAACACACTGAACAAAGTTCATTTCTAAGATCTACATAAGATACCTTTGGGGATTGTGATGAGATTTTCTAGAATAATCTTATATATATACACACTCACATATATATGTATATCAGTATATGTATATATACATACATACGTACACGCACATCACGCTATGTATATATACATATATGTACATGCATACATATATATGTATATGTATATGTACATACATACATATATATGTATATATATGTATATGTATATCTCTATATATCTATATATATACATATCTATATATCTATATTTATATCTATATATGTGTGTGTGTATGTATGTGTATATATATGTATGTATCTCTCTCTCTCTCTCTCTCTCTCTATATATATATATATATATATATATATATATGAGATTAATGGGTATCCTTGTCATAGGAGGGGATTTCCTCCTATGACGCCTCTAAAATCACATGATTGAGCGATATTATGGATGATCCGCTCCGTTAAACTTGATCTACATATTCTAAAACCCCAACACACCAAGTTTGGGGTGAACCCGTCGTCGTTTGACCCTTCATCCACTCGTATCAATTTTAACGGTTTTGAATGAATAGAACTTTTCACATGGCTCGATAGAGGGTCAAACGACGACGGATTCACCCCAAACTTGGTGTGTTAGGGTTTTAGAATATGTAGATCAAGTTCAAAGGAGCGGATCATCCACAATATCGCTCAATCATGTAATTTTAGAGGCGTCAAGGAGGAAATCCCCTCCTATGACAAGGATACCCATTAATATCTCTCTCTCTCTCTATAAGATATGGTACCAGCTGAGAAGTTAATGAATGGGCCTATGGAAGAATACAAAAGAAGAGATGCCTTGTAACGGGATCTAGACGGTCCCGGGTTCCGGGCCAGCCCGGTTTATTTTATTTTTTTATTTTTATTTTTTGATCAAATTTTTTAAATTTTATTTAAAGTTTAAATTATACAAAAAAAAGACATAAAAATTTAATAAAAACAATAATTTTATTAATCACTTAAAATAACATAAATTACAAATAAAAAATTATAAAAATAAATTCTTTATTAATAATTAATAAATCATTTATAAATTACAAGTATAAATTTATTTTGGAATTCATCGCATCATAATAGATAAGTACATCCTAACTAGGTTTTTTTAAATTTCTTTTCTTATCTTTTTTTTTGATAAAAAAATGCTAAAAATTAGTTTAATATTATTATATTTTATATAATTATGTATTAGTATATACTTACAAATTATTATGTAACTATATATTATATATACATATATTATATGTATATATATACATGTACGTATATGTGTGTGTATGTGTGTGTATATGTTTGTGTATATATGTATATGTATGTGTATATATATATGTATATATATACAAGAGATTAATGGGTACCATTGTCATAGGAGGAGATTTCCCTCCTTGTCGCCTATGTGGCACAATCTCCACCATCCTCATAAAAATAGGCACAAATCCCCAACAACTCACACTCTCTTTCCTACTTTATGAGGATGGTGGGGATTGTGCCACATAGACGTCAAGAAGAAAATCCCCTCCTATGATAAGGATACCTAGTATATTTATAAGTTATAACTTGAGAGAGAGAGAATCGCATAAGTAGCCGTTGCCCGTTGGGCCAATGGGAAAGAAGTAGTCGTTGTAATATACTATACTTATATATACTTATATACTAAGAGAGAGTATACACACACATATTATACATATATAAGAGAGTATACTTATATAAGAGGGAGTATACATATATAAGAGAGAGTATACTTATATATACATATATACTAAGAGAGAGTATATTAGTGTATATATATATACACACGTATATTATACATATATAAGAGAGTGTATACTTATATAAGAGAGAGTATACATATATAAGAGAGAGTATACTTATATATACATATATACTAAGAGAGAGAGTATATATATACATACATACATACATTATACATATATAAGAGAGAGTATTCTTATATATACTTATATAAGAGAAAGTATACTTATATATACTTATACATATATATACTTATATAAGAGAGTATACTTATATATACTTATATACTAAGAGAGAGTATATATATACACACATATGACATATTATACATATATAGAAATATATTATATATACATATATTATATATATACATATATTATACATATTATATATATATTTATATATACATATATTATACATATATAATACATATAAAAAATAAAAAAAATAAAAAATCCATTCCGAGCCGGGCACCAAAGAGCGGGCCCGGGCCGGCCCCCGGCTTTTTGGACACCCCTAAGGATACCCATTAATCTCTATATACAAATGTGTGTGTATATATACATATATGTATGTATGTATATATACACACACATATGTATGTATGTATATATGTATATACATATATATGTGTATGTATGTATATACAGGTGTGCGTAGTATGTATATATATACATGTATACGTATACATGTGTGTATAAATATATGTATATATACACACATGCGTGTGTATATACCTGCATGTATGTATGTATATATACATACATGTATGTCTATATGTACATATATGCACATACATATATATAACTAAGTCTGTTTCTAAGATCCATATATGATAGCTTTGGGAATTGTGATGAGCTTTTCTAAATTCCCAAAGGTATCATATGTGGATCTTAGAATCG